AAAGTGAATGCCCGTTAGTATTGTGGTAGTCATTAAATAGCTCTAAAATATTCTTCTCCTTCTGGGAATATGGTAAGAATGAAATTCCTTGTTTCTCTGAAGTTAGGAGTGCAGACTGACTTGCTTAGGCCAATGTAGTGTGAGTGGAAGTGACATGCCACTTCTGGATGGGCGCTTTAAAAGGGTTCCTTTCTCACTCTGATTTCCACAAGATATTGCTGAGAAACAAAAGAAATGCTGAAAAGTGTTTATATTATTATCCCATGTTTTATATGAAAAATAACTAACAAATACATATCTAATTACGTATATTACTATATATAGATACATGCAGATTATATAAATATGGGTAAAAATATGAAATACATATGAAGTTGTTAAAATAATAAAGAAAAATCCAAATTATAACAATAAAAAATGAGCAAAACTGCATGGTATGATCACATACCTCAGTTATTCAAATGCTTAATTATGTAATTAAAATATTGTTGAGTAACTATAATCAAATAATTTTGTACAATATTTCACTGACTCTAAGATGCTTTGATGCTTCGTGCTTTTTGGTCTTACCTGTATCAAGAGCTTTTTAAACACCTGGCTGAAAATGGTAAGATGCCATACATAAGTGGTTTTCAAATTGCAGTCTCACCTGGGAACTTATTAGATACGCAAATTTGCAGGCCTCCAGAATCAGAAACTTGGGATGTGGCCCAACAACCTGTGTTTATCAAGCCCTCCAGGTGATTCTGATGCAAATTCAAGTTTACTTACTTGATAAGATGTATCCTTATTTTAGAGGTAAAAATGTGAAAAAAAAAATATGCATCTTAGAAATAAGATAATTTATTTAATAATCATTGGGCTTTAATCCCATTCTAACATACTATCCTCTCTTCTACTTCCAATGTGCAAATTCTTTCCTTTCAATCTAAATTGCCAAAGATTGGATCTGATTGGCTTGTTTTTGTTTATCTGCCAGGTCATGTCACTCTAAACTAACTTTCCTTGAAATCAAGCACTCACCCTAAATCCAATTAGATTCCACAACAGAAAGGAATCCGAGAGGGCAAGCAATAGCTTTGGATAGTTTCTATAAGAAGCATGTTTGGAAATGTCATGCAACAATTGACCTATTATAACTGGTTTACTTTTACACTAATTTTACTTTTTATGTGAAGACAATGGAATGTTGATATTACATGCTAATTATTATTTTCTTTTAATAATGTTTATATTTTAAAAATATGACACTGGTGACTTAACAACATTTTAATGCTTTTTCTTTTGTAGTTTCACAAGCTTCACAACAAACAATTTTGCTTTTAAATCCAATTTTCTATCAATAATATCTTTTTAATCATACTTTAGATGGTTTACAGAACCAATAGTTTCTTATTAAACAGTTAATACACATATTGTTTTGTGACATTGGTTAACAACCCCACGACATGTCAACACTTTCCCTTCTTGACCTTGAGTTCCCTATGACCGGCTTTCCTGTCTCCTCCCGCATTCTAGTCCTTGTCCTGGGCTGGTGTGCCCCTTTACTCTCGTTTTGTTTTATGGGCCTGTCTAATCTTTGGCCGAACGGTGAACCTTGGGAGTGACTTTATTACTGAGCTAAAAGGGTGTCTGGGGGCCATACTCTCAGGGTATCTCCAGTCTTTGTCAGGCCAGTAAGTCTGGTCTTTTTATGTGAGTTAGAATTTTGTTCTACATTTTTATCCAGCTCTGTCTGGGACCCTCTGTTGGGATCCCTGTCAGAGCAGTCAGTGGTGGTAGCCGGGCACCATCTAGTTGTACTGGTCTCAGTCTGGTGGAGGCCGTGGTAGTTGTGGTCCATTAGTCCTTTGGACTAATCTTTCCCTTGTGTCTTGTTTTCTTCATTCTCCCTTGCTCCCGATGGGGTGAGACCAGCGGAGTATCTTAGATGGCTGCTCACAGGCTTTTAAGACCTCAGACGCTACTCACCAAGTAGAAGGTAGAGTCAACTTTCTGTCAATAATATCTTCATTTAGTGATTTTATATTTATTTTTCAGAGGCATATTTCACTTGCATTTAAGTAGCTTTGATAATGCTTTGTTCATAAGAAAAAACAAAAAGTTCTGGGAGAAAGGAACACTCTTTGCTGTTCTTGTTGCATGCTTCTAAGAAATATTTCAAATGAAATATCCAAATTATGTCTTATTGCATCATCCTTATGATCACAAGCATAACTGTACTCTGAACCCTAAATATAGTAATTCACAAGATAGTAATTCTCTAATTACTATAGTAGAGGCTTGCACGCATTCTTACCCCCTCTAATCCTTTCATTACCACCATCATGACCTTTTCTTTTTTTTTAATAGACAGTAACAAAAAAAAATCTGTTTTCTGCTTTTATTGGAAGAAGGTACCTACCTATAAAAGAGTGGAGGACACAATTCCACACAGCAGTTGTGGTACAAGCCACTAACACTATTCCCAACCCTCTACCAACACTTCACATAACATTTTTACAATCTAGACAGCGAGGATGCATCAGCCAAGAGAAAAAGCAACTTTGAAAATACTTTCTTCAGGAATTTACACAAAAGATATTTTGCATATTTGAACAAGAAAACAAAGTCTTGAAAATAAAGTCAAGTTACACGAAACTATGTTATTGTTGTTAGGTGCCATCAGTTCAGTTCCCACTCATAGCAACCCTATAAACAACAGAACGAAATGTTGCCCCGTCCTGTGCCATCCTAACAATCATTGCTATGTTTGAGCCTATTGTTGCAGCCACTCTGTCACATCATCTCATTTAGGGTCTTCCTCTTTTTCGCTGACCCTCTACTTTACCACGCATAATGTCCTTCTCCAGGGATTGGTTTGAAATGAGATGAAGTTTCACCACCCTCACTTCTAAGGAGCATTCTGGCTGTACTTCTTCCAAAACAGATTTGTTTGTTCTTCTGGCAGTCCATGGAATACTCATTATGCTTTGCCAACACCGTAATTCAAAGGCATCAATTCTTCTTCATTCTTCCTTATTCATTGTCCAGCTTTCACATGCATATGAGGTGACTGAAAATACCATGGCTTGGGTCAGGCACACCTTAGTCCCCAAAGTGACATCTTTGTTTTTTCACACTTTAAAGAGGTCTTTTGCAGCAGATTTGCCCAATGCAATACGTCTTTTGTTTTTATTAATTGTACTTTAGATGAAGGTTTACAGAGCAAATTACTTTCTCATTTAACTATTAGTACACATACTGTTTTGTGACATTGGTTGCCAACCCGACATGTCAACACTCTCCCCCTCTCGACCTTGAGTTTCCAGTTACCAGCTTTCCTGTCCCCTCATGCCTTCTCATCCCTGCCCCTGAGCTGGTGTGCCCATTTAGTCTCATTTTGTTTTATGGGCATGTCTAATCTCTGGCTGAAGGGTGAACCTCAGGAGTGACTTCAGCACTGAGTTAAAAGGGCATCCAGGGGCCATACTCTCAGGGTTTCTCCAGTCTATCAAACCAGTAATTCTGGTCTTCAGCATGATCTTTTCAACAATCAGATTTGGTCACGTTATTCCTCTGCTTAAAATGCTTCAATGGCTTTTTAAGATAAGGACCAAAATCTTGAACACGACTTCAAGACCGTGAATGATACAGTCTCAGCCTACCTTTCCACATCACTCTGAACTCCAGTTACATAGGCCTTATCTTATTTTAAAATTATGAAAATGTTTAAACATACTGAAAAACAACATAGTTCAGTGAGCCCCCATGTTACTCCAATAATAACCAAGATTTTGCCACATTAAAGCTCTTAGAAAATATGTACCCCTTAATTTTCATATTCTTTTATTTAGAAAAGGTTAATCTAGACTGTAGGGTAAGATTGTGAGTTCAAAGCACAGCCTACCTGGGGAAACTATTAATTTTTGTAGACCTAAGTTTGTTCCATAAATTGGTGATAATAACAGTATGTATTTCAAAGTCATTGTGAGACATAAATGTGTTTAAAATGTTTAGAACGGTGTCTGGCATATAGTGCATACTTAATAAATGAGGTCATTATCACTTAGGACAAGTAACACATCTTCCGACCTCAAGGCCTTTCCACAGCCTACACAAAATATTCTTCTGTTTACTTCCAGATTTTGCTCAGTTCTGTCTACTCATAGTCCCAGTGTCACATCCTCAGAGAAACCTTTCCTAACTTTCCCAGAGTAAGCTAAATTGTTTTAATATACCTATCTTTTCCTCTATGCAAGACACTTATTCGAAATTATTATATTTGTAAGGTTAACAGATGTCTTTCTGAATAGACTGTAAGGAAGCTCCAAGAACGGGGAATGGTATCTGTTGGCTCCCTGTTTTACACTCAGCACCTAGTACAAACTAGGTACTCAAAATCTTTATTCTATGTTTAAAGATCATTTTATCTAATTTATTTTAAATCAAACCCTCTGCTGTCTTCTACATATATAAATCTAATTATAATAACATGTAATATGTAATATAACAGGCTTGAACAAAGTCCTGTTTTCAGGTATTTGAAGAATTAAAAATTATAGAAAATGTATTATTAATACCTGCTAATTTTATATAAAGAATACTTTTTTTGCACAGCTATCTTTAAAAGAAAAAAATGCTTCTGGTTATAAGGTTTATCTATTGCAGTTTAATTCTAAAGTAAAGGATGATACAGCAGAAGTCAGAAGCAGTTAAAGCTAGCAATTAAGTGGTTCAGATATAAACAGGAGAAAAAAGCATCCAAATAATCTTTCAATTCACTTTCTTATTTTTACACAATTTCTACTTTTACATGAGTTTGTTATTAGCTGCTTTAGAGTCAGCCCCTGACTCATGGTGACCCGGGAACACCTAAACAAAGTGCTGCCACGTTCTGCACCATCCCCATGATGGGTTGCATTACATATAGCTGGGGTCCATAGGGCTTTCATTAGCTAATTTTTGGAAGTAGATCCCAGGCCTTTCCTGTATATGCATTTAGGGATTTGATTACCTTACTTACGATTGGTATCATCTAATCTGCTTTTTCTAGAAGAATCCATTTGTATAAAAGAATTAGATTTGTAATTATCTTTCATGACAATGGTTATTTTTATTAAAATGGTTAAAGAAAAATGCTTCTCATTAAACTTCCTTTCGTCAAGACACTAGTCATTATGAAGTTTACAAATCATGCAGCCAACTATTAAAGAAAATATAAAAAATAACCAACCTCAAAATCAGTTTCAAAAGCGTCTTCTTTGAACTTCAGTTCATAAACACCTCTATCAGTAATTCTATGTCTTCTGACAGGAAACTTATAGAAAGCCAGTCCAGGAGACAAACGAGATATGGTCAAATTCTATACCAAATAAGTTGTGTTCTGTATCTTCTTCTTGTTTAATCATTCTGCACATTAGCAATATTAAAGGCTATGAGAAATCCTGTGAAGGAACCTGCTTAACTTGAACTAGTTATTAAACAGACTTTGAGAATTGCTGGTCTGCTGCATTCTACAGACTGACTAGTCCAGAATCTCATTTAAAAAAGTGAAAGAAAACCACCTTGTTTTTAGCGGTCTATGACTGCTGGTGGCCACTGCTTCGAGTTATTAAATCCATTATAATAATTCATTTTAGCATCTTATTGTTGATGTATATTAACTTATAATTTGCAGAATGCACTTTCCTCCATATGAAACTTGACGTATTTGCCAGCCTCTAACTTTTGAGTACCTTAGTAATTTTCTTTACAATTCCTCAAGGCTTAGTAGCAGCAATTTAATGTCCTCATCTATCAAGTTCTTAATGGGAGTCTAGGGTGGTAAAGTGGTACTTAAAGCATTCAAGGGTAGAAAACGCAGGTAACCCTCAAAAAGGGCTGGGGCCAGCAACTTGAAAGCCATCAGGCACATACAATGACCCTTTCAAATGAGTGGTTTGCCACAGGAGGTACACATCAGAATTACCTGTGAAATTCTTTGAAAATATATGGCACAACTGGGGTTGAGACCTTGGATATATGTGTATTTTGAAAAGCTCTCCAGGTGATTTACATGTACATTTCTAGATAAAAATTCTGGCTCTGGATACCATCTTCCTCACTGTAATCATTTTCAATAAGGACCATAAAGACCTCTTAACTTTTAACCTTTCTTAATGATTCAAGGCCATGGGTTTATGGCATTTTCCTCTGAGTACATTGCACCCTAACTTCTATTAACAGTAGTTTAGTTATTCTACCAGTATTCCTTGATCTGGCTACTAGAAGGTAGGGTTACTTTTTCCCAAGGTTCACATTGCCTCCACTTGATCAAGCAATTCTTCCCCTATGGGTAAACTTAAGTTTCGGAGCAGCAGCTCTCATGACCCCTTTTCCTCTTTGTAAGAGTACCAGAAAACCCAAAACCATTGCCGTCTAGTCCATTTTGACTCACAGCAACCCTATAGGACAGGGCAGAACTGCCCCATAGGGTTTCCAAGGAGCACCTCGTGGATTCAAACTCCGACTTTTTGGTTAGCAGCTGTAGTTCTTAACCACTACACCACCAGGGTTTCAGGTTGTCTAAGAATAGGGAAACACGAATGTATCCAAAACTCCTGCTGGAGTATTTCAGCACATTTTTACATTTCCCAGTACCATCTGGCCTTGCCTCTGTTGTTTAATGATCCATTTATGTCACTTGGCTAGGCAGTCTGTAGTATGACCCCCACAATAATCTCCTCCCTTACTGTTTATCCTTAAAGTGATATACAGAGCAATCTTGTTATCTGTATCTCCTCTAGACATACAGCACTACACTGCCTTGTAACTCTTAAGAATTGTTTCTTCTGACAGTTATTCCCTTCCATCTTTATATTCCAGTCCCTTTAATCCATCAACTCTTATTATATATTAAAATATATTCTTTATTATTCTTTCTCAGTGAATAGTTTGAGACTTTAAGTACAATATTTGATTTTTGGTAAATTAAAACTCTGTTACTCTTTTTTCCATTATAGCTTAGCTTTCATAGATCAGTTTTTAAAGAAAACAAATACTGAATTCATTTTGGTGATTTAAAACAAGATGTAATTTTGATAATCATTTTATCCTTTCAAATAAAACCTCCTACAATTTAATTGACTAAATATGTATTTCAAGTTTCAAAGTTAACTGGAAAGAAACTTGAAATTGAAGCACAGGTTACTATGCAAAGAAAAACTAAACTGCTTTAGGTTTATGTGAACTTGAAATAATATCGTTTTCAACTGCCTTAAGCAACATTGAAGGGAAGGGACTAATGAAGCATCACCTTTGCTCCTAAACTAGCCAAGAGTTGAGACGCATACATATTTTATGGGAAGTAATCTAAAACTCTTCTAGAAATTATTAACTGTTATTCTATCCAGCAAGAAAACCAATACAACACCATCTATCTAATTAGTTAAGACACCAGATACTCGTCATGCAGCTTCAGGGTCTAGTAACAAACCTCTAGACTTCAATGTTTTGTTTCACAACTTCTAAGTACTCATAACACATTTTAAAAGGTTGATACCTACTTTAAACTATGTATAGAAGTACCAGAGTACACAGTTATCAAATGAATGTGCGTTTACACCAGAGAGTCTCTCAAGTTTACTTTTGGAGCTAAACCTAGTAGTCTTCAAAAATTTTAGTATGCACTGCAAAGTAATTAGTATTAAATTTAAAAAACAGATCTTTCACATAGGGTGGGAAAAATACCATAAACTAGTTGGTACTCTACCTCTAGAAGTTGACATGCATCCATCTATATTTTTCATGTTAAAATGTTGATTGGCTTAAACTGGTCCAAGGGACAAGTTATATTTTTATCTTATCAAAAGTTATGAGTACAAAATGTAACCATCAGAAATTAAATATGGATTTTAGAATAGTTTTTTTTTTTCAGTCAGTACTTTCAAATTCTGACAAAATGCAGGACATTTAAAAAAAATGTATCAATTTTGCTTACAGCAATTAGGTTTTTAAAACAATCTGATTCTTTTGGTCCTAGTCTGATTAGAAAGCAAAAAGCATTTTGCCATATTTAGTAATACTACAATTAAACTTGTTTTTCATATCTGATGTACTAGCTCTAGAATATTCCTAAAAAATATAATCAGATATAAAAAAATGTTAAGATAGTTCAAAGTAATGAAGAAACAAAAATCCATAGTTAGATACTCCAATAGTGACTTCCCTTAAGCTAGCATTGTAATATTAAAAAAAAAAAAGACTTTTTGTTGTTAACAACCCACCTCAAAAAACCCTATACTCGTAGACTTAATTAAATTCAAGAGAAGAGCATAAAATGTTGATTGCAATGCCAGAGATGGCCAAAATAAAAGTAACTGCTGATGATAAAAATGTCTTTTAGTCTACTTTTGTTATATGTGCATTTAAAAATTCATTATTGAACAAAAAAACTTTAAAAATATGTGTTTCAAGTTTCAAAGTTAACTGGAAAGAAATGTATAATATCTCATTTGAAAAATAATAGTTTTAGCACACATATGCACGGTCCCTATATGAACTGTAAATCTCATCAAAAGCATCACATTTTAGTATTTTTAAAGGGGGATTCATGTAGGAGTTATTTTTCTGCATTATGAAACCGATTAAAGACAGTACTTTTACATTTAAAAGTAATTTACACTTGAAAAACTCAAGCAAAAAGTCTGATATTTTATCAAAACAACAAGAACAAAGTAAGCAATGGAAAAATAGCAAAAGCTATTACAAAAAATAGTAAATTTCTATTTAAATTTCTGTGTTTACACAGATTAAAAATGTTTATTACATCACACAGATTGTAGCATACTTTAAGCTATAACACAGAAAGGTAACGTGGGAAATTTGAGATTCAAGCGGCACTTAACCAAAATAATTTTAACCTGAGTCTCTGATGTCTTCAAAAATGCATTTTACAATAATGTATGATAAAGTATATTTTGTTATTATTTAGTAGTATAATTCAAAGTAACTTTAATTTGAATTGTTCTTAATACTGCTTCTTCATAAATATTTGTTTTAAATTATAAACATTTATCAACATTTCTTGGGTTCTCTGAGCACACAAGAGTGTTCGAATTAAAAAGCTGTTAGTTTTTTCCTGCTATACAAGCATATGCAGATGTCTTTTTAGTTCGAAATGCCTTAGATTTAATCTTATTTTCATATTTCAAAACAAATGCAAAAGGTCAAAACATTATCATACTTAAATATTCCTATGAAATATATCCCACTCACTGAGGAATTTAAAACAAGTTTACTAAAGAATATCAAGTTAACGATTTCCTCCTATAAATATTTTCTTTTTATTTATTTTGTGTTTAGAAGTTGCAGTTTTAAGTACTATTAACAGAAAATACATAACAAAAGCTTCCTAACAAGTGAAAAAAATAATTATAAATGCTGGAAAAATTGGCCTCATTAACATATTTACACTCATTTACTTAATACATACTCCATTGAAAATTAATTATATGACATTTATACAAGCATTAACATTTCCAAATCACTTTCAGTAGTGAACACTTCAGTTCTTTACTGTCTATAGTCAAAGGTGAAAGTCATTCAGTTTTCGAAGGCAGAACCGACAAGCAACAGAAATGGTCAATCTGGGATACTGCTGACATATTGTTCGGTTCCTTCACCTAAAGATGACTCTATTGAGTAAGTGTCCTTATGCTTCTTCTTCTCTTTGCACTGATCTTCCTGCAGCTTCAGAATTATGTTTCGGATTTCTTCTCTTTTTGTTCTCATTCTTGGAGGAGGAAACCAGTTTGCCAAATTCACAGGTAGTTCAAAGTTGAGAATTGGATTCTAAAAATAAAAATATTACATGCACATTAAAAAGGTATAAAGAATATTTTAGTTTCAGTCACAAAATTATCCTAAGTTAAAAATGAAAAATAAATCAATTACTCATTCAATATGTATTTACTCATTACCTATCATAAGGTAGGCACTGAGCTAGGCAATGGAAATATAAGACAGCTTCTGCCTTTAAATATCTTATGGTCTAGATCCAAAAACTCATTGCCGCCCCGTTGATTCTGACTCATAGCGACCCTATAGGACAGAGTAAGAAAGTGCCCCATAGGGTTTCCAAGGAGTGTCTGGTGGATTTGAACCACCAACCTTTTGGTAAGCAGCTGTAGCTCTTAAACACTACACCGCCAGGGTTTCCATGGTCTAGATCAGGGGTCAGCAAACCACGGCTTACAGGCCAAATCCAGACCCCTGCCTATTTTGTAAACAAAGTTTTATTAGAACACAGCCACACTCATTCATTTACATGTTGTATTTGACTGCTTTCACACTACAACAGCAGAACTGAACAGTCACAACAGAGACTGTATGACCCACAAAGCCTAAAATGTTTACAGAGAAAAGGTTTGCCAACTCCAGTCTTGAAAGAATTCAACAAATAAAACAATGAACGTGGCAAGTATTATGATAGAAGTGCAGAGTACTAAAAGTATAATATATGTGGGAGCTTAACAAAATTTCTAGAAAATGACATTTAAGCTGAGACATAAATGACAAAGAGGAGTTAGCCAGCCAAGGAACGACAGAAGCCAACAGCCAAGAGTATTCCAGGTAAGGAAATAGGTATCAAGGCCTAGAGGTAAGAAAGAACATGATACATACAATATGAGAAATTGAATGATGTTTAGATGGCTAATATATAGAACGAATGAGAAAGGTAGCAGTGAGGCTAGAAGCTTAGGCAGGGGCCAGAACATGTAGGTGCTTACAGGCCATGTGATGCATTTTAGTTTTCAATTCAAGAGGAACAAGAAGATTTAAAAGTAGGAAAGTAACACAATTAGATTTGTTTTGGTCAACAGGGTCAAATGGTGCTGGGAGGTCAAGAACAAATTCAATATAAGACTGAGGGTGAACACAGATTACAGAGATTTGAGAAGTAAACAGGAGCTGTGGAATGGAGACCTGACCCACCGCCATCAAGTTGATTCCGACTCATAGCAACCCTATAGGGCAGAGTAGAACTGCCCAAAGGGTTTCCAAGGAGTGGCTGGTGGATTCAAATTGCCGACCTTTTGGTTAGCAGCCAAGCGCTTAACCACTGTGCCACCAGGGCTCCAAGGAAATAGAGACAGTGAATATAAATCTCTCTCAAGAAATATATCTATGAAAGGGAGAAAAGAGGCAGTCTGAATCATGGGAGAGGTTTAGTAAGATATAAACAGCCAGGGGAGACAGACAATTGATGATATAGATGGACTGATCAGTGATGAAACGAGGTCAATAAGCTTAGATTTAATGAAGTATAAATACAGCATTTTTACACCTTAAAATTTCTCCAATTTGGGAGTTTTTGCTCTCTGGAATAATTTTTAAACTACAGTTTTCAAATTTACTTTATGTATTGTTTGTTGTGTTTTTTACCCTAAAATAGGGCCAAACACTTTATTATTTATTACACCAGGTCAAAAAACTGAAACCCACCTCAAAAAAGCTCTCTACATACTGCAATACATACACACCACAATCACTGAAGTTGTTTTGCTGTGGTACTTTTAGATTAGAGCCTTTCATAACATCTCTGGAAAAACTTCTTTTACTTCCTTTTTTAACTTCCCATTCCACCTCTAGATACCTGCAATAATGCACATATAGTAAGAACATACATATATGTAAGTATGCATGACCTGTCACCCCCACCAGAAAATGACACAAAGTGTGAGGTCAGATTTTGAACTTACTCTCTTAGAATTTTTACAACATTTGACCGAGAAGGGCCTCTGAGTGAGTCCATAAGCAGGATACAAGGTCTGCAGGGTAGAAATGACCTTATGTTAAGTATTTTATAATGTTGTAAAGGCACAAAAAAATTAAAATGTAGTACATTAACAATAAAATTTAAAAGTTTCAGAACTCCCTTTGTATACCTCAGTAAACTGTAGGGGAGGAAAAAAAATCTTATACATACATGCAGTTCAATAAAATAATACTTAAATATCTATGGTTATATTAAATACTGAATTGCAGAATATTAGTTTAACCGTATCTTAGTTATAAATATATTTCATTAAATTCTCATTGTTCGTTCCTAAAAATATTTAAAAATTTAGTAGAAAGCCAAAACAATTCTTAAGTTTTGAAAATCCCCATACTCCAAATCATTAAATGTGGGACCATGCAAAAGTAGAAGGAAAATAATCCTATTTTCAACTAAAACCTATTGTAGATAACCAAACGGGTAATTATTGCATTAAAAAATTAGTTTAGAATCCAGTGTGTGTGTGTGTGTGTGTGTTTTTGGCAGGGGGATGGGGTGGGGGGTAGGGGGTGGGGCAAGAATCCACTTCAGAATTCTACCCCTCCCCTGAAAAAAAAACCCAAAAACCATTTTTTTGGGCAATATTCCACTTCAGAACACCACCCTCTCCTCACCACCACCCCCCACCAAAAAATCCAAAAAACAAAACCTGTTGTTGTAGAGTCAATTCTGACTCCTAAAGATTCTATAAGACAGACTGTAACTGCCCCACAGGGCTTCCAAGGAGCGGCTGGTGGATTCGAACTGCCGACCTTTTGGTTAGCAGCTGGGCTCTTAATTACTGAGCCACCAGGGCTCCTCAGGACATCCAGTATAACTAAACACTCAACCTTCAAAATTTTAACTCTGCAAAGCAATGTTGTAAATCCAAGTAAGTGAGGAAATCTAATGTAGTGCCAAAGCCCTGGAATATATGAAGACCTAAGTTCTTGAAGATCTAAAGATTTGGGACAAATCTCTTAATTTTGTCTTAGTATCTATTTTTAACTTTATAAATGAAGTTTCTTTTCAAAGGCTATTAATGGAGTTTTAGCAAACATTTTCTACAGAAAGTAAAAGGAGATTTAGTAAAGAAATAAGTAATACTTCATCACCTAAGAAGTTCAGAGCCTCTAGAGAGACCTTAGAACAAACACTTCTGAGAACCAAACAGGTTCACTCTCTTTTGGGGCTCCCATCTGGAACATGTCCCATAGGACTGCCTTGAGTCATTCCATACCCTTCATACAGTAGCTGTGAAACCAGTCTAAACTCCAATTCTCATGATGTTGATTAGAATGGCAGTTCATAGTCTTTTTCTGCTCCAAAACACTATATTCCCAAAAAAAATAGTGGTTTACTATGGAAATTTGTGTGTGTGCAAGCACGTGTGTGTTCTTGCACACTGAACCTGGAAACATGGGCAAATGGAAGATTAAAATGATTATCCATTCTCCCCTCCTTAATTCCTGGACAGTATGTCCCCTTTTCCTTACTGAGCAGCCTTTGTGACTCTTGCTCAAATATTTCTTTAATTACAAACTGTCCAGGTATATTTTATTCTATGAGGGTACTCAAAAAAAATTATTATGTAGTTTGTAATCATGTAGTTTGCAAGATATACAGTTAATGCTTACTGTTTACAGATTGTAGGCTTTAAGTGCCACTGCCCTAGTTCTGAGTTGCAGTTATCATCAGCAAGGAATCCGTCATCACTGCTATCATCCTATAAAAGAAAGCCTACTATTAGCATTAAAAATATACAATTTAAATAATTATTGAACTAACAAAGTAGCACCATCAAAGATAAACACCTTCATAACAAGCCCGCAAAGAAATTTTCTATTTAGGTATATCAGACACTAGAAAATTTGGTAAGTCACCTGATTCTAATTATCTAATGTCACAATATTGACATTTCAATAAAAAGAAACTACCAATCAGAGATCTAAGTAAAATTGCTACATAGTTTTACTCAATCTAGAATAAATCTTTAATGATTAGATATATTATGACTGATTCTTCTCCCCTCAAATATTACTGCTCTAATTTCAGTTAATTTTTATAAAAATTTACTTGGTTGGCTAAGACAACTGTTCCACATTAGGGCATGACTCATCTTTATTATTCTTTCACATAAATAATTTTCCAAATCAGAAATATTTAAATAGTTTTATGACACACTGCTTTCTTTCCTTGACAAACCCATGTATCTACTTTACTAAGCAGAAATTAGTTTAAAAATATTGTGTCTTATTCTGTAGTTCTCGACTATAAAATAAACAAGGCTTTTTTCTTTATCTTTGGAGAAAGCTTCTGGCAACTCTGTGAATGGAATAATCAAACAGTAGGAACAACAACAACATTAAAGACCAACTAGACTAGCTAATTCACTTAAGAGTTAACTGCTATGACCAAAGGAGCATAAGTACTCATTATAAACCATGCATATAATTTCTATTATGTGTCTGTATATATAAACACTGTACCTCACAGTCACACACTGTAAACAAATACACATCACAAAAAATGGCTTTTGTTCACAAAAGGACTAAGCAAAAAGGAAAACTGGTATAGTACAAAGCCATCTTCACTATTAAATAACTCAAAACTTGTCCTAACAACTAAAGAAAGGTCAGAAAATTAAAGAAATGGTATACTGTAGATTCCTATAAATTTCTCAATATAAAGCAGCCTTTAAATATTTTCAAAAATATACTTTATTCTTGATGTTAGTAATGTTTATTAGGGCAAATAAGACATTGCTATTCAAAGGCATTCAACTGAGGATCATAACAAATTATGGATAAGATTGCGAAGAATGGGAATTCCAGAACACTTAACTGTGCTCACGAGGAACCTGTACATAGACCATGCGGCAGTCTTTCAAACAGAACAAGGGGATACTGTGTGGTTTAAAGTCAGGAAAGGTGTGTGTCAGCGTTGTATACTTTCACAATACTTATTCAATCTGTATGCTGAGCAAAATAATCCAAGAAGCTGAACTATATGAAGAAGAACACGGCATCAGGATTGGAGGAAGATTCATTAACAACCTGAGATATGCAGATGCCACAACCTTGCCTGCTGAAACTGAAGAATACTTGAAGCACTTACTGTTGAAGATCAAAGACTACCGCCTTCAGTATGGGTTGCATCTCAACATAAAGAAAACAAAAATCCTTACAATTGGAGCAATAAGCAACCTCATGATAAATGGAGAAAAGACTGAATTTGTCAAGGATTTCATTTACTTGGATCCACAATCAACGTCCATGGAAGCAGCAGTCAAAAAATCAAATGATGTATTGCACTGGGCTAATCTGCTGCAAAAGACCTCTTTGAAGTGTTAAAAAGCAAAGATGTTACTTTGATGACTAGGGTGCACCTGACCCAAGCCATGGTATTTTCAATAATCTCATATGCATGTGAAAGCTGGACAATGAATAAGGAAGATCAAAGAAGAATTGATGCCTTTGAATTACAGTGTTGAAGAATACTGAATATACCATGGGCTGCCAGAATAATGAATAAAATCTGTCTTGAATTACAGCCAGAATGTGCCTTCAAAGTGAGGATGGTTATATAAGACTTCATTTCATCTACTTTGGACATGCTCTCAGGAGAGACCAGTCCCTGGAGGACATCATGCTTGGTAAAGTAGAGGGTCAGCAAAAAAGAGGAAGACCCTCAATGTAATGGAGTGACATAGTTGCTGCAACAGTGGGCTCAAGCGTAACAGCTATTGTAAGGATGGCGCAGGACATGGCAGTGTTTCGTTCTGTTGTACACAGGGTCGCTATGAGTTGGAACCAACTCAAAGGTACCCAACATCATCAACAAGACTCCAAAGAACTACAGGAAAGATCTATGTTAATTTTAACTAAATACTATCCACTGCTGCTATAACATATATACATTAAATAGTAATAAAACACTGGAAAAATAGAAAAAATAATACAATAATTTGGTCATGCTCTTCCTTCACATAATCGAAAATTTAAACATTTCCTCTTGAATGTTAGACTAAAGGTTAAATAAGACCCTTGAAAGCTTTGAAACGTAGAGAGAAAAGGTGATGATGGCTGGGATGGGGTGGGAGAATTAATTTTATATTAAAGCTTTCTGAGGAGGGTAATATTAATTCAGTCTACAGTGGGAAAAAAATAAAAATAAACACTCATACATTTATCTCGGCAACTTCTGAACTGGAAATTGAATTTGTGTTTTGAAATGAGATCCAAATCCAGAAGGCATGATGAGTTTTTGCCTGCAGGAATTGTCTACAGAAAATTTTCAGTTAGATAAGAGATTAGAACTTTTTGCTAAGCTTTTGCCTTCACCTGGTTATCCTGATCTTCTGAGAAGTCGATGAGTTCATCGTCAGGCACTTTACCACCTTCAGATGATTCGTCACTATAGTTTAGTCTGATTTTGCTTAAGCCATCTGTATTAATAAGAAACAGTACATAATAAAAGCTATGCATGTAAGTCACAGGATATAATATCAAAATTAGTGCTATTAACTAATAACATAGTAATTAAGGATACAAAATTTAGGTTAGCATGTAATATCACCAATACAAAGTAAATTATTTGTAATAAAAACCTGGATGCACATGTCAACTAGAGTTGTTTCCTTAGATCATCAGTTAAAACAAAACAAAACCTAGGTATCAATTATATGATCAAAAATAGGTATGTACAAGTAAAAACATACATGTATGTATACATGTATATACATAGTTTTGTGCTAGGTATACCAGATATCTTCAACTAATAATGGACATTACAATAGTCTAAAAATAACCTAAATATGCAATAACGGGAATAGTCAGCAACTTATGGAACATCAAATGAAACTGCACAGTTTTAAAATTACAACTATAAAATATGAGAAGTTATACAACGTAGGGTAAAAATATAAACATGATTAAAAATTAAGTAAATAGGCTTGCTTTTGAACAAATAGTAGAAAGAAAAATTTAAAAACTAAAAGAATCATTGTATTAGAATGGTAGTTATGGACAAATTTTCCCAATTCTGAATAAGATTTCCTTCTTGCCTTGGTTATATTCATAGGCTTTTCAATAAATAAAACAATGCAATGCTGGTAGTACAAAAAAAAGTGACTCATAGGAAAAAGCTGAAATGATTACTTTTTTTTTTGCCTTTATTGGGCTTTAAGTAAAAGTTTAGAATTCAAGTTAGTTTGAAATGGTTACTTTCTAAAGGTCCATTCCAACAATCTAAATACAGGCAGTACCCAAGTTACGAACAAGATCCATTCTTAAGTGTGTCTTTAAGTTGAATTTGTACATTAAGTTGGTACAAGTGCATACGGTTCTTATTTAGCCTTACTATATTTAGTGCAATAAAAGGCTCAAAGTCTTAATAAAGCTGCTGTGCAGCAAGTGAAGCTGACTGTTAAGAATTTGTTGCATGTAGGGGTTGGTTCAATCGTTTCAAAGTGAGGGCCAATTTACATAACATTGAAGGGCACGTAAGAGTCTGTAAGTTCGAAGTTTGTAACCCAGGACTTACTGTACTTAAAAATCAATTATTTTGTTGAAAGAAGTAAATCACACAAAAGGTTTAAAAAAGCTCAGTACAAAAGGATGAACTACATAATCATTACACAAGGGACAAGATTTGTAGGAAAATAAGATTTACATGGAAAAAAAAAGAATCAGGGACTATAATGCCTATATACCAGTATTGTTTATTACAAAGCATGCTAATTCAAAGATTTTAACAACATGACTTTAAGGTTTTTTAAACACGTTAAAATTAATTTTGGCATAGGTTATGAAAAGGATATTAAGAATATTAATATAAACAAGATGGTATGGGAAAACAACAAAATAAAATGTGCTCCTGAAAAAGCTGTATATAAATCTAAAAGTGGTGATCAGAAGTATAATATTTAAAATAATAAAACACCATGGTGAATCCTTTTGTGGTGCTGATTTTTTCTTTGTTCTTACTCTCCTGTGCTGAATTCCTTTTGTTTGTAGATTTTTTCATTTCTTTTGTTTTTGTAGGTTTTGATTTTGCTGAGACTTTGTTTTTCCTCTTTATTTTTATGAGTATGTTTGTTAACTTTCTTTTTGGTTACCATGAAATTTACCCTTATCTTTCTAAGTCTGAAGCAGTCTATTATTACTTGGTATCGCCTTGTCTTCCTCTCCATTAGAAAGTTCTACACCTACACCGTTTATTCCCTCTTTTATTGTTCTGATGTTGTTGTCATATACTGATTAACTGCTCTGATTCCCTGTTGTATTTCTTTTGGTTTTGGATAGTCCTTGAGAGTTCATTTCCTAGATTGGTATCCGGCTGGTACGATCCTGCATCCTAGATTCTGCCTGTGAGCTGAAGTTGTTTGTTCTCAGATTGAAGAACTACCTTTAATAATTCTTGTACGTTTGGTTTGGTTTTTACATATTCCCTTAACTTCTGTTTATCTGGAAATGTCCTAATTTCACCATCAAATCTGAACGAGAGTTTTGCAGGATATATTATTTTTGGCTGGCAATTTTTTCCTTTCAAGGTTTTATTTATGTCATCCCATTGCCTTCCTGCCTGCATGGTTTCTGCTGAATAATCTGAGCTTAGTCTTACTGTTTCTCGTCTGTATGTGACTTCTTGTTTTTCACGAGCTGCTCTCAGGATTCTTTGTCTTTGGTTTTAGCAAGTGTGATTATGATATGCCTTGGTGATTTTCTTTTGCGGTCTATCCTATATGGGGTTCATTGAGCTTCTTGGATGGCCAGTTTTTCATCTTTCATGATATTGGGAAAGTTTCTGTCAGCAATTCTTCAAATGATCCTCTCTGTTTTCTGTTTTATCCCTGTTCTGGAACTCCAATCACTTGAAAATTTTTGCTTTTGACTGTATCCCACATAACTCTCAGGGTCTTTTCATTTTTATTTGTTCTTTTTTCTGAGTTTTCCTGAAACAGAGTTGTATCCAAGTGTTTGTCTTCAATTCCACTGATC